CTGACGCTGCAGCACAGGCGCAATAATCGGAGCCAAAGTTCTCCTGAGGTTTGTCACGGTTCACGTGGATTATTCATTAACGTGGAAAGAAATGTGAACATGACCTACTTTGAAATAACTTGTGACACCTGACCTCTTATTTTATCTGCATAACAATTTATGGATGTGTACAAAACACCAATCAGACATGTGAGGGTTAATTAAAACACGCATAGAGGTAGAAAATCAGCAGGGTTATTATCATGATAGCATGTTATCCCAACATTAAAGAGCAGCTGTTGTTAATAAACCTTCGATTTATCCTTCACGTTTATTGATTGTTTTGACTAATCAAGCAAAAATGTTGCAGTAGTTCTAATGATGTTACTTTGGCTTTATTTAAAAACCAAAATGACAAAGTCAACAATGAACTGATTATTCTGACGGGTAGCGACTGCTCTGCTCGATAAAGTAAACCGACATTTAAATGAAAACAGTGAAGATGCATGAAGTGTTTTTAGCGTCTCTACATCGACGGTCACGGGGACGTAAAAGGAAAAACCTTTCGTCTTAATCACAGTGAATATCAATCACCACGTTTTCCATTTTAGGATCATTTTTAAACCATGTTGGCAACAAAAATCAGCTTTTATATGAGCAACACTGTTAACATGTGACCTGCATTGAATCCCTCGTCTGTCTATTAAGTGCTTTATGTCACTCATTCCTAATATAATCTCAACATTTAATTTAATAATGTTTTTTGCTTGTTAAATCCCTCCTCCCCTTCTGATTTCTGATTTTTCAGGTCACAGTCAAACGCTGCACGATGACGTCCAAACTGTAACTCTTTTCCTTCTTCCTGCCGTTCTGTTCTACGCTGTAGGAATCCACACACTCTTCCACTGCACAGCGCTTCTCCACATTTCTTCCAGGAATGACGGATGGCACCGAGTCCAGTCGAGCTCCCCATCTTTCCCTTCCCGGTCCCCACACAGGCGCAGGGTTTTTAGCGGACTAGTGCAGGTGTGCTGGAGGTACTGGCAGCCCTGCAGGAGATCAGAAACAGTGAAGCGAGTGTAGGCGATTATATGAGGCAGGCCTGATTTGGGAGAAGGAACTCAATCCTACAGTCAGGAGCTCAGTTTAATGCAAAACGAGGGAGCCTCACCTCAGCACTGCCCCAGTACCAGATGGCCTTGATGACACTGTGATTCGCCAGAGCCACAGTCAGCTGGTCTCGACTTCCTGTTATAACGTTTACCAGACCTGCTGGCAAGTCCGAGGACTGGAGCACCTGAGAAAGGTGCAGTAAAGATAACAAACAGTTTTTATGACTCACGGTGCTTTTTGATGCAGGAGCTGACTGAAATCAGCTGAGAAACCCGAAGACTTGCTTCAAGTCTACAGTCAAGTTTCCACTGACAGCCTCGTGATCGACTGCAGCTCACGCTGGGCTGACCAAGCACTTTTAATGCTGACCAACTTAGAAACACTGGCTAGAAACAGGCCCGCAACATGAAGGTACAATTTAAGACTTTCAAACTCTCCATTAGGAAGCATTATCTAACCAACAGTCGACTCACCTGCGTCTTTTTCTTTTT